ATGTCTGTGAGTTCGCACTTTTTGTTAGCCTTTTCCAACCCGAGAACCAGAAAACCTAGAAGGCTGAAAATTTGGCAGTATGCGTCCACATCGTGTGCGACACTCCCGTTTTAATGTCATTACCCGCGTACGTCTAAGGTGCCGCTTACAGGCGCCTTAAAAAACCATGTAAATTTCTTGGCGGAAAAGCGACTTCTGGAGTCAGAAAAGACAGAGAGCTGGAACTTTGAAAGGATATTCTCTATGCATGTGTGAACTCAAATTCAGCCCTTAGGTATGAGTGGTGTTAATGTGCGGTCGAGTGAAAGATTTGGCGGGAAAATTGCTAACTCGGCAATCACAAAAGCAGGTATGCTGGGATTTTAAGAGTATGCTTCCCGTCCACGTACAACTTAAACATTTTAAATTTAGCCCCCTCCCGGCACGCCTCGTACCAAGACACGGGAGTATGAAAGTTTTGGCGGGAAAGTTACCAAGTTGAGAACCAGAAAGGCTAGAAAGCTGGAATTTTAGGGGAATGTTCCCTGTCCAGGTACAACTTAAATATTTTAAGCTCAACGTCCTGGTATGTGTCGTTTTCACGTACGAGGAATTAAAAATTTGGCTGGAAAATTGCCCATTGAACCACAAGGTCATTTTAAAAAACGACCGCTAAACAGAAACTGTTCATTTCTTTGATGCAAAATTTGCGATGATTTACGCCAGTGAGCAAAAAAGGTAGGTGTAAAGTAACAGCCATTTACGCAGTTAACGAACTGAGTACTTCAGTTTCAGTGAAAAAAGCACTATCGAACTAGCAAGTCTGATGCATTCCAACCTCGGTTGAAAATGCATTTTTCATGTCCATTTGCAGAGAATTTAGTCTCCAAACTGGTTAAGATGTAGAATATCTGGATGTAGAATATCCTCGTAAAATTCCAACTTCACGGCTAGTCCGGCACTCAAAATTCCCACTTCGTTAGAAATAATTTTGACCTGCCGTAAAGTATGCTGCAAATGCAATTTAAAACTCCACTTAGCCATCCACTAATGCCCTAGATGACGATAAATATTTTGGCCAAATTACAGCTTTTGTTTCCCCGGTAATTTTTGAATTACACTGTGCTCGCTGTGAACTTTTACGTTACTGGAAGCGTGATGCAAACGTATGTGAAAGCTAAATTTGCAACATTTAGCTTAAATGTAAACAGAAAATACTCCTGCAAGATTACAGCTCCTTATGATTATTAGTTTCTCGGGAAAAAGTTACGTATTTTTTAAGGATTATGTGAAATTTGCTTGCCCAGGAGCGTTGATTTTAAAATGGTGTGGAAATAAGCATCTAAAATTTCAGCCTCCCAGCTCTCCTCTATGCTGAGCTGAGCTGATTATCACAAGTAATGTGAAGGACTTAAAAAAGAAGGCAAGAATAGAAAGAACTACGCAATGCAAGATGTAGCAATATTGCTGGTACAGGAAAAATAAGTGCGAGAGAGTTAAGACGTTTCGGTCCATATACGTCCTAGCTCAACACCGCAACTGGACCTCGTCATTATGACGGTCGCAGTGTTCAGAGATGAGAAGAACAAGAGAGAATGGAAGGCAGGAAGAAAGCAGAAGATAGGAACGGGAAGAATTTTTTTAAAAGGTATAAATTTACGGTATTTGAAAAAGATTAGAAGGCTGTAATGCAGAAGTGGAAAAGTGTCGAGAGGACGGAGCGCTAACAACGCGATTTATACGTGCATGTTGGGTGGTATAGTTATTGTAGAAGAGCGTGTATCAGACGTTGACAATGGGCCTCCGTAGGAGGGAAATATTTAGAAAGCTGGTATGTATTTCTGTGCACAAATGTGTTGACTAGACGACTAATGTTATGAGAAGAAAGTTCCTTGTGAGAGTAGTGGAGGAGAAGACGACGAGCGGACGTGATGTATCCTTGATAGGTGGATTCGATAACTAAGTACCTGTTAAGCTGGCTGTAGATGATACCGCTGTGGACAGAAGGGTGTAAGTTGCTGCGAAGAGAACAGTATTTAATGATGAGGAAAGTGAAAAGATCGGTCTTGCAGGACAGTGAAGAAACGATACGAGCATTGCTATCTATGGTAAGAGTCAAGTCTAAGTAGTTGAAGATGATGCCTGAACCTGTACATTCTATGTCTAGTCCTGGCCGTAAATGTCTCGACAGAGGGAAAGAAAGTCCGGGCAGTTGAGGACTAAACTGTCGTCAACACAACGGCGGAGGAGAAGCGGTGGATTAGATTTAGTGCTTTATTTAAATTCAAGAATAGACAGTATAGACTAAGTGAGGTCGGCAATGTCGGAACTAGCATTGCCATCCCCGCCTTTAACTTGGCTGAAGATGTAACCAGCGAAGGGTACGTAGGACTTTTGCATGACAGAACGAAGGATGGCATCTATTTCAGCACGTGAGTAAACGGATC